CCCCCCGACTCCCGCTCCAGCTGGGGTGCCGCCGGGGCGAGGCTCCTTCCAGGCGGTGGGCGAGCGAGCGCGGGGCTGAGCAGGGTCAGACTCCGTTCATCCCCTGGGGCAGGGCTGGCGTGAGGGGGTGGGGCCTGGGGCCGCGGGGCTTTTCTGCGGCTCTCTGGCCGAGCGGCCACTCGGCACTGTGGCCGGGCGCGGGGAGGCACGATGGGCTGCTGTGGGGCGCTGCTGGCCGCCGTGGCGCTCTTGCTCCCGCGGCATCTGGGTGAATGAGTGAGCGCCCTGCTGCTGGCTGGCTGGCGCGGCAAGCCCCTGCCGAGTTCCTCGCCCAGTGGGAGAAGGTAGGTGGGCGAGGAGCCGAACTGGGGATAGACATCGGAATGTAAGATTTTGGTTGTTTTGTTTTGAAAAACTACCCCAAAGAATTCAAGGCATATGGGTTATATGGGGGGTTTCTTTTACCATCTTTAAAAATTGTTTATTCCCCCCCCCCCTCCTAGGAAAAATGACACAAAGAAAATCACGTTCCAGAGAGATGGAGTCTCTTCTAGCTCAGATAAACAACTTGGACTTAAACCCAGTAAACCATTTCAATGTAATAAAACAGATAATTGAGCTTTTCAAAGATGGAGGAAAAGATGAAATAGTTTCTGAAGCAGCAGAAGACTTGAAAGCTTGGGAAAACACTAAACTCACCATTGCTGTCACTGGAGACACAGGAGCTGGGAAATCTTCCTTCATCAATGCTATCCGGGGCTTGAGGCCCAGTGATGTGGGTGCTGCTCCCATAGGAGTAACAGAGACAACACAGGAGCGATCCGCTTATTCGCATCCTAACCTCCCCAATGTGATCTGCTGGGACCTTCCAGGAATAGGAACCCCAGGGTTTCCTCCAGGAACATACCTTGAAGACGTGGAATTCTCCCGCTATGACTTCTTCGTCATTGTAAGCTCAAAGCGGTTCCGAACCTGCGACGTTCACCTAGCTCAAGAGATCCAGGCCATGGACAAGAAGTTTTATTTCATCCGGTCGAAAGTGGATGAAGATTTGAGCAATGCAAAGAAGGCCGATCCTGAAAAATATAGTGAAGAGCAGGTCTTAAAAATAATCAGGGATGACTGCAAACAAAATCTGGAGAAGCACTTGAAGAAGCACTCCAACCCTCAGATCTTCCTGACTTCCTGTTGGGATCTTGACAAGTATGACTTCCCTCGCCTGCTGGAGACTCTGGAGAAAGATCTGCCCAGCCTGAAGAGATTGGCCTTCCTCCTCAGCCTTCCTAACACCTCCCCTGAGGTCATACAGAAGAAGAAAGACGCACTGAAGAAACAGTTATGGAAAATATCTGTGGTGTCTGCTTTTGTCAATGCTGTGCCCTTTGAAGCCCTTTCAATAAGTTGTGATGCTGTTCTCATGCTGGAGACCATAACTGGCTTCTACAAGCAGTTCGGGTTGGATGACGGCTCCCTAGCTCGGTTGGCCAGGTTGATGAAAAAGCCTGTCGAAGAGCTGAAGGCTGTGATTCAATCACCACCCGAAAAAGACATTGACAAAAATTTATTGGTTAAGTATTGTGCCTCTGGAGTGGGACTACTGCTGAAAGGCCTTTTCCCTGGAGAAGGTCACGTTGTAAGTGGAGTGCTTTCCTTTGTAGCCACGTACTGGACACTCTCCAAGTTCTTAGCTGAAGTGGCTGACGATGCTGAAAGAGTTCGTAAGAAAGTCCTGGAGCAGGCCTAGGCAGGAGCTACGTTTGCCGGAAACTCGCTTTAAAAGCTGAAAAACCCTAAAAAATAAACTAAATTTCTTCTAACAAATTCCAAAAAGTAAAATAAATGTCCAGTTCTATCCCAAAGAGGAAAAACTGGATGTTGTGACTTGAATAAATTGTTTTGCAGATATTTTCCTGAATTAGGCTGTGGGGGCAGAACATGTGATTCGATAGATTAGTGTAGGTTAGACTGGCAATGTTTCTAGTCTTAGATCGCTTTTGTCTCCCTGCTACAGACATAAGTGTAGTCTCTTATTGTATGTGTATACCGTATGCCAATAAAGGCTTGTCAAGTGTAACATAAGTGTAGTTATATGAAGGCCAGTCCGGCTAAGATGGTCGCCACAAAATCTGAATTCACAACAGTGTTACTAATTGGGAAGAAGTGGTAGGCGCAGAAATAAAACCTAGTTGACAGAAAGGGATCGACTGAATTCAGACTAGCGTCCACCCATTCCCCCTTCCTACTGCAGACCCCTGATTCAGTCCTTATGAAGTTTTTGACACACACCCCCCGAACAGCATTTCAAGGAGATCAGTAGGATACAGCTGAATAGGCCAGAAAATTCTGTTTTGCTGACTGAAGTGCCTTCAGCTCATGGGAAATTCAGTCCAGATGCAATGTCAAATATAAGATCCTGAAAAACAGTCACGAGGGCTGATCACGGCCAATGTTTGTGGGGGCATGTAGGAGGCACCCACACTTAGAGTGTTGCTGAGCTTTTCCCTCTAAATTTAATGTTAATCCCCCCCCCCCCGTTAATGCCAACCTCACACTCTTATGCCAAGGACTGTATTAACTTCTATATCTTGAAACCTAGAGAGCCACCTGTGGTGTAGTGGTTAAAAGTGGTGGTTTGATTCTCCGTTCCTCCACATTGAACAGCTGGGTGGCCTTAGGCCAGTCACAGTTCTCTCAGAGCTCTTTCAACCCTGTCTGCCTCACAGGGTGTCTGTTGTGAGGAGAGGAAGGTTTTGCATGTAAGCTGCTCTCCTTCAGGTACTGAAGAGCGGGGTATACAACCAACTCTTTTTCTTCTCCAAGCACGTAGACAGATAAGCTGCGGTGGCTCAAGTGGTTAAGACGCTGAACTGCAGGCTGTGGAAAGTCGGTAGTTCAGCAGTCCGAGACCCGAGTGTGCCGCATGACGGAGTGAGCTCCCGTCTCTAGTTCCAGCTCCTGCCAACCTAGCAGTTTGAAATAAGTTCCACTTCAGTGGGAAGGTAACAGCATTCCGTGCACCTTTGTGTTTAGTCATGCCAGCCACATGACCACGGAAATGTCTTCGGACAGCGGTGCGGAGATGAGCACCGCAAACCCTAGAGTCGGATTTGACTGGCTTTTGAGCAAGGAAACCTTTACCTTTACCTTTTAATTATGCTTGGGCTTACAGCTAAATAATCAGAAGACTAATAACTAGCATGATTTATGCAAGGAGATAGAAACAAAAAAAGTATAAAAATGACAATGGCGCTATGGATCATCCTCAAAGACGCTGATCAGATGGCTAATGATAGTCTTCTCTGTACAGTTAGAAGCAGGAAGTGGACAACCCACATGGACTATCTGGAGACCAGTCACAACTGAAAGACTGTTTGTCCATTACCAAGAGCTGGCCAGCACATGCTTTTCCTGTAACCTTGCAGACAAGCTTTAGTTTTGCATGTAACTCCAATAAAGAGCACCGATTAAAGGGCAGATAAATCATCTCCAGGGTCTGTTTATTCCATTGCAATACAAAAGTGATAACACCAGGCCCGTAGCTAACAACTTTTTGCTCAGGGGGCCCGTTTTTTTCTCAGGGGGCCCACTACCAATGTTCCCTCTAAGCTGTGGAGTTTTGTGAGCAAAACTTCTACTTTGTGAGCTACTGCCATTAAAGCTGTGAGTGAGCAATTTGGCTACAGCATAAATTCGTTTGCTCTGGAGCCCTCCTTCCTGAGCCAAGACAAAAAGGTGTGAGCTAGAAGCTAAAAAACTGAGCTAGCTCACACTAACTCAGCTTAGAGGGAACCCTGGTGGCAACCACTGTTCCCTCTAAGCTGAGTTAGTGTGAGCTAGCTCACAGTTTTTTAGCCTCCAGCTCACACATTTTTGCCTCAGCTCAGGAAGGATGGCTCCAGGGCAAACTAATTGATGTTGTAGCCAAATGCTCGCTCACAACTTTAATGCCAGTAGCTCACAAAGTAGCTCACAAGACTCCACAGCTTAAAGGGAACATTGGTGGCAACTATACGCAAAGAGACAACATGGGAAGAAAAACCTGCAGAAGTTCGGAATAGATGGAAGACCTACTTGGAATGAATATCAAAGGAAGGAAGAAAAGACATTCAGTGGAAGATTCAAACTTTGTGCCCATGACTGGGGTCAAAAGACTAAAGACAACAAGAAGATAGGGAAGGGAGGAGGGAGGAAGGGGAGGAAATGGTAAGAAATTGAATCATATGTACTGTAAAAGTCTAAAAAGAAAAAAACCAATAAAAATATATGTTAAAAAAACAAACACTGCAGAGGAGCCTGAAGTACAATCTTAAATTGTACAGATGAGTGAAGCCCCTGGCCGATTTCAGCTGCCCAGAGCATGCACATATAGAAAACTATATGAGTGCATGCACAATTATCACTGCACTGAGCTGCCTGTAGTCTAAATAAAACAGGAGCCTGGAAGCAATTTAAAAATTAGCCAAATTCCTTCCAGCAGCAGGTTTTGTGAGTCAGAACATACTTCACAGGCAAGAAATGAATTATCTGCATATGGCCTGTACACCATTTGCTAGGCGGAAGAAGTTTCTGCACTGCATGTGCACAGGCCACCCTCAAACCTAGCTGAGCCTTTGTTATACTGAGAAAGAAGAGAAGAAGATATTGGAGTTATACCCTGTCCTTCTTTACCCAAAGGAGTCAGAGCAGCTTACAATTTCCTTTCCCTTCCCCTCCCCACAACAGACACCCTGTAAAGTGGGGGGGGGGCTGGGGCTGAGAGAGCTCTTTCCAGAACAGCTCATGAGAGAACAGCTCTGAAATAACTTGTAACTGGCCCAAGGTCACATCAGCAGCTGCATGTGAAGTGGGGCATCAAACCCCCTTCTCCCAGATTACAGTCCACTCTCCTAACCACTACACCAAACTGGCAGTCACAGAACAGTCATTTATCAGAAAATGAAGCTGAATTATAGGTTGCCCTCACCTGCTTCCTGGCTGCTATGGTTAAATGGCTAAGAGTGAACCAATTGAAACGGAACCCTGGAGAGACAGAAGCAGTACAGGCTGAGAAAGCAGAAGTCTGGAAGGACATTATATTCCTCGCTTTCAATGGGATTCAGCTAACCCTTGCCAACTCGGAGGAGAGGAAGAAGAGTTTTTTTTTACACCCTGCTTTTCACTACGTGAAGGAATCTCAGACCAGTTTACAATCTCCTTCCCTTCCCCAGAACAGACACCCTGTGAGGTACCCTGTGAGGTAGGTGGGGCTGAGAGAGCTCTCAGAGAACAGCTCTCAGAGAACTTGTGACCGACCCAAGGTCACCCCGCTGGCTACATGTGAAGGAGGGGGGAATCAAACCCGATTCTCCCAGATTA